TACAGTTAAGCGGTGGCTGAGAAGGAGCTGACACGACCGCGGGGTGTCAACGTGTGACAACGCCGTGGCCGTGTCAATATACAAGGTATAAAACTTTCGAACAATAGTAATATATGGGCGAGTATCCCAGTGGAGTGTAAAATAAGTCCTCTTTTTTTTTTCCCCAAAATTGGAAGAATTTTGAAATAACCCCCAGAATTTCTCTAAAATTAAAAATAAATCATACCATAATATTTCCCGCAAAATGCTCACACAATTTGAGGGGTCACTCAATTTTGTCCAAAATATTAGACAATTTTTCTCATATTGACCCTTAAAATGACTTGAGCCGAAATTTTAGTGATACATACATTTAGTGTATCAATTTGTATAAGAATTTTGCGAGAAATTCAATAGTATTGTTTATTTTTTATTTTAATGGGTTTTTCATGTTGAAATAATGGAAAACCCAGAAATTAATTGCTTTTATTGTTTTATTTTTATAATTATTACTTGTAGTTTCAATAATAATAATGGTAAGAATGAATCGTGTAATCACCTAAATAAAAAAATCCAATAAAAGTAATTTTAATCATTTTCAATAGTTTTTTTTTATTTCCTTATAATTATTTACAAATCACCAACATGCTAAGTCATAAAAAATCGTATGTATTTTTGGAGATAATTCAAAAGAAAACTAAATTGATCAACAACCATTATTGCCTATTTAATACTAAACATTTATTGTTAATTGGTAAAAATAAAATTTTATCAATATTTTGTATAATAGCTTAGTTAGATAGTAAAAGTACGTAATAGTCGTAACTTTGTGACACTATCTAAATTGGCATTTTTTATGTTTGTTATCATGTTATGCCATGCCTTTAAGTAAGACAACTTTTTTACCAGCTACATGCGTTTTAATTCATGTTTTTTTATTCGGAAGGTATTTTACAACTATCTGGTCATCGATCGGGAGGTAGTTGCTCGACTTTAGATGTTGATACAAAAGAAACCATATTGAAAATATTTCGAGAAAACCCAGAAACTAGTACGCGGAAGATTGGTGCGGAAATTAATATTAATCTCATGAGTGTCTGGAAAGTCTTAAATAGCAATAAACTGTATCCTTACCATTGGCAAAAAGTACAGAAGTTGTTACCTAAGAATTTTCCATTAAGGTTCAAAAATAACTTTACTGTTCAGAAAATGAATTTTAATAAATATATTTTTTTTATTAGATTGAATTTTTCTCGAGATATGTTAAATCAAATTGTAACTGATAAAAATCTTTTAAATAAAAATTTATTTACGGATGAAGCCTCTTTTACCAAAGATGGTATTATTAATTTACACAACCTACGCCTCTGGTCTGAAGAAAATCCTAACGTTACAAGTGTTACAGGGTCACAATACAAATTATCCGTCAACATTTGGTGTGGTATTGTTGAAAATTATCTCAACGTCTTGTAAGCTAAGCCAGTGTTCGATCCATTTTTGTTGTTTTATTTTGTATGTTAGTATAGTACGATAAGCGCGTTTGTCCGGTGCGTACTGGTTTCTTTTTATTGTAATATAGTAGTCGAACGATGAACTCGTCATCGTAAAGAACGGCACGAAGCGCACGCCAACATGTATATGTAAAATAAAGTATAATAAACTAAGCGAAAAGTGTTAAGTTTTATCTAGTTTCTTACTAAATAAATAGTTTAAAAGTAATTCGAATTTTATACAGTCCACTCTGAAATCGAAACAACCAGAATATTTTTTTAATTAAAAGCCGGTAGGTACCCGAAGACATTCATCGTATTCTCTAATTGTAAAAGTGTAGGTGTAATTATTATTTTTTTTATTAATAACTGTCTTTTTTTTTTGTTGGAGCGACCGGTTCCCTAGAATTAATCGTGTAGGAACTCAGCTTCGGAATCCTCTAGCGCTAAAGTAATCGATTGATCCGCGTTTGTGGGGAGTCGACGGTCCTGCATAGCGCGGGGACTTCGTCTACCAGTGACTCGCGTTCCGTCGCGAGCGTCTTGTATGAAATCGCGGGGGTTCGGGTAGGATCTATTAAAAAAGTTGTCATTTTGTATCCTCCCATATGATCTGGTAAAGGGTCAGATTGACACGGCACCGCCTTACGCTCTAGGCTAGCGCTCACCCATGTCTCTCTCGATATCTCGATAGAAAGCTACATGATCTCCTATTCCTTATTTATATTCTGATTACAAGTTTTATGACTTATAAGTTTAATATATGAATAAATAAATAATTATATATAAAAATATCATGGCACGGTGATTGTCCGCGATGGATACCGAAACTTCTTAACCGATTTTGATGAAATTTGATATACATGTGTAATTGAGTCCAACTTAGACAATAGGATAGTTTTTATTCATTAAATTATTCAAATTTATTCATATTAGCAAAAGACAGGTTAACTAAAGTTATTGTGCACTAAATAGCGCTAAATTAAATTTTAATATTAACATAACACAATAGTAACATAATTGTTTGGAGTAAAAATCAACCTTTGATACCTCATTGATTCATTTTAACTTGTATAAATGTGAGCAATATAGAATTTTTATATTTCTTATCTATTTTTTTAATATACTTGAATTTCAGATAAATAAAGTAGAAAATCCAAAAAATTTGTTTGGATCGTTCTTCATTACTAAGTGTTAAAAATTCAATGATAATCTCCAATAACTCAGATTCATAAACTTTATTAATATTTCCATAGTTATGCTATATGATTGAAAATAATATTAATCGTATAATAATCAAGCCACAGCGAAACGTAACCGGGTCAGCTAGTATACATGTATATATAATAATAATATATAAATATAAATAGTTTTTTTTTTTTTTTTATATAAAAAAAATAAACAAAATGATAGGTAAGTATCTCATGAATCTATATAAAAAAAATTATAAAGATTTGTTTATAATAATTGTCCACCTTCATAACAAACATCTATTTAATAAAAAAAAACCCAGCAATTAATAAATATAAATAATAAAAAACCGGTACAGTGGTGACGTGGCATAGCCCAACTATTTTTGAACCGCATTAAAAATTGGCGCCCTATCATAAAAATGCTAATATTTTTAAAAAGTTACATTCGACCAGTTATTTTATTATTTGTAAGCTATTTAAAAATATGTTTCATTTCAAAAAACTAAAGTTAGAATTTTAAGAAGTGTGTAGAATCAAAATTATTTTTGAAATTTATAGAATATAGGATACTAGGATTAATAGATATCATTAACTACTGAAAAGAAAAAAATATATTAGGACTTATATTTTTAAATAAAGTTAAACAATTACTCTGTATAGTTGAAATATATTAAATTATTATAATAATTATATTACATTTTCTTCAAATTATCATGTAACTTGAAATTTAACTCTTTTATAATCTTCAATATTAAATAATCTAAGAATTTGTTAAAGAAATTTAAGAATTTAAAGTTTTGCAAAGATCATTTTTAAAAGACAATAAATTGATAAATACATATAATTAAAAATCCAACGTAGTGTGTAAATTATAGATTATATCTGACAGTGATTAAAATCACTATAAATAAAAAATAAATATAGTTTAAAAAACTAAAAATACACGCTTTTAAAGCACATCGAACTAAAAAGTTAAAAATAATTTTTAAAATAAGTTTAAAATAATTATGAACAAAAAATACTAGTATTATTGTGATAAAAGCGTCGGGCGCTCAATATACGAAAAATATGGCACAAAGCACCCACGCTTTTATCACAATAATACTAGTATTTTTTGTTCATAATTATTTTTAACTTTTTAGTTCGATGTACTTTAAAAGCGTGTTTTTTTAGTTTTTTAAACTATATTTATTTTTTACTTTTTAGTTTCATGTTATGATAGTAGTTACTATCAATATCATGGTTCTTACGAGTAACGGGAAATCAGAGTTCGATTCCGGAGATGGAGTCAGAGAAACTCCCGGAACGTGGAGATAGTGACAAAAAATGACGATACGGAAATCATCCCTCGTAATCGGAATGAATACTTTATATCTCTTAATTAAAATAAAGCGTGTTAATAAATAAATTTTAATAGTAATTAGAATATATATATATATACACAAGTAAAGCGACTTAAATACGTAAACGTATCATGCACTAGGTATAACCGTATTTTGCGGGCGGGCGGGTCGGACTAACGTTATACCTGTGGTATAAACGGTGGTAGGAATATATAAATATATATACATAAGGCGCATTAGACGCGGACAGTATTGGTCAATCAAAATAAAAATTTGTTTATATATATATAATATTGATGACAAGCACTCGTGTACGAGTACGATAACTAAAAATACATTTTTATAGGAATAGTGTGCCGTCGTGTGGTGAGCGAGGCGTGGGGAGGGGTGAATGCGTTATGACAGTCTAGTCTAGACGACTGAATATGCGATAATGCGTGGCGTTTGGAGAGTTACAAACATACATACATACATACAGGTGAAACTAATATAAGCGTGTTAAAAAAAACGTTTTGATGCAAATCTTTAGATAGTGTTTAATTTTAAAAAATTGGTGAATTATTCCAAAAGCTACATGATCTGCTATTTCCTAATTTATATCCTGATTAAGATAAAGTATGTTGAATGAAAGAGGGATTTAATATTACTTCTCGTAAAAAAAATTGACTTAAAAAATACACTTTTCAATAAATTATAGTATAATGAAGTCAAAAATGTAAAATATATAATCGAGAATTTTCACACAAAAATAGCATTTGGTAGCCATTTTCACCATGAAGACAAAATAATGTGTTGTAGTGGTAACACTGTATTATCATTTGTATTCATTATAAAAATGTTTAGTTTTATAAATAATTATCACTTTTGCATTTTGTTCTTAATAATTAAACCCAACCAAACCAACCCAACCAAACCAACCCAACTGTAGGTACCCTACAGTCAGTCGTGGTTTAGTATGCACTAGTTACACTCATTCTATATCATTCTATGTCATTCTATTTTATTATTCTATTCATTTGTATTAATATTAATAAATAACGTGTATTGTATTATTAATTGTGTCAATCAAATTATATATTCTAAAGTTTTATTGAAAAGTGAGTGTTTTCTTTTTCTTATTAAGTTTAATTCCTTTTACCACGTGGGCCCGCACAACAAATATATGAGATTTTGTGTTGAACATATTGATCCATTAAGATGAACCAATATAGGATCACCAAAACCTGAAGCACGAAGAATAGAAATAAGAACCTCATGATTTAATGAATCAAACGCCTTAGCAAAGTCGGTGTAGATGACATCAACTTGTAATCCTTCTTTAAAAGAACCGTGTGTATAGTTGAAAAAGAAGAGGTTACAGGTAACCGTAGATCTGCCTGGGCGAAAACCATGTTGTTCATTGGCTAAAATCAAGTTAACCGAAGGCTAAATAGAATCTAAGACTAAGGACTCGAAAATTTTAGAAATGTGTCAAAGAATTAAAATAGGTCTATAATTGGTAACTAACAAGGGGATACCTGATTTTAAAATGGGAGTAATAGAACTTATTTCCACATGTCTGGAAAAGTACTTTCGTCAAGGGATCTTCGGAATAAGGATCAGAGAGAATAAAAAATAATGTGCCTTGTTTTGTAGAGAAAATCACCAGGTATTCTATAGGGTCCTATAAAAGATACATTTTTAGACTGTCTAGTTTGAGGAGGATATCATAAGGGGTGAAGTAACAGTTAGGTAGGTCGAAAATGGTATATGTAAAGGCTGGAGGTTAAAAATAACTGATTTAGAAGAGTAACCTGAACAAAAATGTTAAGCAAACAAATTTGCATTTTCCTTCTTACAAGAACTGTGAATACCATTTAAGGAAACTATGTTAGGAATAGCGTTATGAGAACGGTTTCTGCGTACGAAAACCCAGAATATATTGGGATTTGAGGATAAAGACAGTTTAACAAAGGTTTTATGACATTTTTTAGATATGTATTTACATTTTGCACGAAGCAGAGAAAAGGCTGAATAATCTGCAGGGTCGAATGTGGATTTAAACTTCGCATGAGCTTTATTTTTACGATACAATAAAGTTCTAAGCTCTTTGGATACCCAGGGAGGGAAACTCGATTTATAAAAATAGGACAGAGGGACAAACTTCAAGATTGAATTATGGAGTGCATCAGTGTAGGTACTAACCGAAGTATTTAAATCAAGGTTAGATAAAGTAGAGACCTAATCGTAAGAAGACAAAAAATATATAATACAATTGTAATTAGCCTTTTTGAACTTGTGAAACTAGTGTGAGTTATTAAAAATAGTGGGGGAATTGATTTAGGGAAGTAAAATATTAAGAGGAGTGTGATAAGTATCAGGTGGAACTAATGGTTCAAGAAATTCACAAACGACAACAGAATCAATGTTACAACAAATTAGATTAAGAAAGGAACTCTTAGAATTTAAAATGAAATTCATTTGGTAAAACCCATTGAAGGCAAGAGATTAAGGAACTCATGGTACTCGAATAGGAGAAGATGAGGTATAGATAAGGTCATGTGAATCATTAGACCAAGAAATATAAGGTAACTTGTAATCACCATAGAGTAATAATGTGTGTGTCAGGAAAATCATTATAAACATTTTCTAAGATGGACATAAAATATTCAAATAGAAGAGATGGACAAAGAGGAGGAAAATAGGCAGCATTTAATATGAACTTAGAGGATCCAACTGAGAACATAACAAATAAGTGTTCAACGTTAATTTTGCGAATGACAATTAATTTAGAAAATAAGTCTTTTTACACCGATGAGTACTCCGCCACCCCTTTGACAATTGCTAGTATTAGAACATCTGTCATATCTGTAAATATTATAATTGGTTAGACCAAGTTCACAATCAGTAAAAGAATCGGTAAACCACGTTTCAGTTAATACAAAAAAGTCAAAATTTATGCAAACTACATTACATTTAAAATTTACAATTTTAGTCCGAAGACCACGGCAGTTTTGGTTAAAACCAGAAACTGACTTACTATTAAATTAATGGGTTCAAGTTTGTTGATTGAAGGTCTGTGGTTGAAATTTACTTTCCTAGGCTGGTTTAATACGATCTTCAGGAGACCATTGATATGAGCAATCTGCAGTCCGACTTCTCCAGCTTGAGATCTACGATCAAGTTTTGAGTGGCAATTACGCAAAAAAGTACGCTATAAGAGAGTGTTATCCTTGGATATGCGAAAGTTTGGCGAAAAATTAGTACCACTTTTCTTTTACTTCATAATAGATCGCTAACAATTTAGAAGCGCTTCTTTAGATTCAAAAATTATTTTCAAAGGACGAGTGTTGTTAGGCTGAGTTTTACCTGAACGAACCAATTAGTAGTGCGCAGGAAGATTGTCAACAAAGGGAGCTACAATATTCTCAAATGTAGATTTATCATCAGTGATACGCTGAGAGGTAGAATCAGCGGAAGACTCAGGAATACCGTATACCAATAAGTTGGTAGACCATCTTTCTCGTTCGTAAGTTTCCTGGAATACTCGATTTACAACAGAAGAACAGGAGGCAGGTGAATCCAAAGACTCCAGCTTCGAAATTTTATCCTTAAGAGAATTGACCTCGCACTTAAGAATATTATTTTCAGCTTTGAGTTCAGCAAGAAGAGATGACAGTTTTATTATATCGTTCTTGTGTTCTTTAAATTGATTATCTTGCGTCAATGACTCTTTTTTGAAAGAATCAGCAAATTCATTTCGAAGAGCTAATAATGTGATCATGATGTCATCGTTGGAAGAAGAACTGTTACCACGTGAGAAGACTGCGTTTGGAGAAGTGACAGCCTGTAATTTATTGGTGTTACGAGTATTAAGCACGGCTCAATGGGATACAGCAGCGTAAATCAGTTGTATGTATGGCTAATGAGCAAGCTCATTAAATACTTTATAATTTCTCCGTAAAAATTACAATACTTAATTATTAAATATCCATTTAATACTATATTTAATTGCTATAATAAATATTTATTCATATATTACATGTATAATTCATAAAACTTCTAAAAATGCATATAAAAAGTAGAACTTTTTCAACTTAATTATATATATATATCACTTATATATATATATCTTAAATTAAAGTTTATGAAATATACTTAAATATAAAAAAAATATGATTTTTGTAAAAAATTAGAATATTAAATTAGTGAATATCAATTTCATTCTATAATTTATTGCTATAATAAATATTTATACATATATTACACTCATAATTCATAAAACTTGTAAACAGGATATAAATAAGGAGATCACATTGCTTTTGGAATAATCACCAATTTTTTTTAAATTAAACACTAGCTAAAGATTTGCATTGAACTGTTTTTTTATGATAGTGATTTTAATCTCTGTCAGATATAATCTATACTGGACTCAACAATGCTACATCAGCACTGTGCCACGACCTCACAGAACTGGGCTTTTTTATGTGACTATCATTGACTTTCTCATCCCTTTCTTTATTGACTTACTTTTACGATAAAAATAAAAAAATTTGAAGCTTTTCTGATAAATTTACTGCTCATACAAGCGGTAAAATTTTCTTACTGCATATTAATTATAAAAATAACATTTTTTAATTCTCATAAAATTTTCTATTTAATGATGTCAATATCAAATTTGTAAGTTGAACTAAAAGTAATGGTGTTTAAAAACAAATTCAACTTTATTGATTATAAACATTCAAAAAAATCAACTTTAAAGTATTAAAAATAGGTTAAATATGTCATTTTCATTATTATTAACATACGAAAATTCTAATTCAGTAATAATTTGAAAACATTTTTTTTTATATGTTAATACTCAATTTTTACTAATTATAATAATTTTAAAAATTAGAAGTGATAGAAAAAGTTTAATTGCAGATTATTAAATAGCGCGAAGTGGATTTAGTAAAGTATATTTTTGCTTCTGATGAAAGTTTCTTGTAATCTAGTGTATTTATTCATAAATAAAAAATAGTTTTTATTGAAAATATTGCATAAATTTTAATACGCATTAAAAGTAAAGAAATATACAACTACTTTATTATTTTTATAATGTCTCCGTAAAAATTACAATATTAAATTAATGAATATCAATTTCATACTATATTATTTATTTACTTTTAAATCAAAAAACCACTAATAAAGATATAATTAAGAAATTAGGAGTTAATTTTGCTTTTGGTATAATTCACTAATTTCATAAAATAAACACTATTTACAGATTTGCATCAAAGCGTTTCTTATGGTAGCGATTTTAATCACTGTCAGATATTATATAAATTTGTCTCAACTATGCCGCGACCTCACTGTGCTACCGTTTTTTTTTTTAATGCTTCAGGAAGTTTAGTTGAAATTTTCCTTTTGTTGGGCGAAATATTATACTTTAATGAACGCTCAATGCTAAAAGAATATCAACAAAAAAAAAATTTAAAAACTTTTGTTCTGTAAACACTAAAAAGTACAGCTAACACGGTAAAAGTTTTTTGTACTATAAAGTATAGTAAGTTTTTTTTTACTTAATCATCTATAATTTGTACAATTAATACACATAAAAACATACAAAAAATAAATTTATAAATTTTATAATCGGTACTTATGACTACAATTGAATCTAATTGGTCATCTTGTTGGAGTATTCTATTTTCATTTTTTAACGGTATAAAATAAACAAAAAACTAGTCTAGTTGTGAAAACAGTCGTTAAGATTTGATATTTTGAGGTACTAAAATATATTCATCAGACTTTATTCCGTTAAATTTATCCTTTTGAATTTGATGATTTGGATACACAATTCTCCGTACAAAAGGAGTTAATAGTTTTGGGTCTACTTGTTGGTCAGAAGGGAATATTATACTGATGATTAAACCAACAACTATACCAATCAATGGCCCCAACGTGCTAAAATGCATGTAAGAAATTGTAAAAATCTTCCAGACATCTGGAGCTGCATACACATCGTTATTCAATCGGATTAAACTATAAAAAAAATAATAATTTCAAAACTGTATTTTCTTAACTATCATTGAACTTAATTAATATAATACAATTTCAGTTTAAAGTATTATTTAAAATCTATACTTTTAATTCCACAATATTTAAGTTTACCCTGAATAGTCTGTAATATTATGTAGAGTAATGTTAACAGGACAACCGGTCACAGATAAATCTTTGGTTACAAACTTTAATTTATCATTTACTATTGCATCTTCTGTGCCGTATGTTATCCACGACATAACCAGAAAACTGACAACCATTCCACATAATACTCCCTATCAAAATATTGATGAGAAAATCATGTATGTTAGACTTAAGATACATTATTTTTATTATATGACAATGATTAGGAAATAAAACTTCAAATGCATTTTTTGAAGTGATAATATCATACATTTTTAATCATAATATAACATTTGAAACTATTAAATTATAATCAGTTTGTTTTGACCGTGCCGATCTTTACTAGCGGTTGGCGACAACGACACTAAAATTATTCACCATATAACAGCAATTAAATGAACATCGTTTTATTTTACAATTTATACTATAATATATATTTCAATCCATATAGAGCATACGATTTTAAGAGCAAAAAAAGCTATTCACACGTTCATGGCTGAACAAACAATAACGAGACGCTAACAAAATACGTTGTACATGAGCAATATTGGCGGGACATTATCTGAGCTGATAACGCCGTAACATAACCATCCGTTACCGGGGTAGCTCACTGGTACCAACTGACGGTATCTTTAACGTGTGATTGAACACAGTTATAGCCGTCTATCAAAAACTTCTGAGTTCAACTTTGAATCATTATATGATTAAAATCATAAAACGATTCGATGCATATTCATATGTATTACTATGTGTACAAAAAATCGAGATTTTATGATTATTTGACATATAACGAAATATCAAATTAATAGAACCAAGTATTTAAAGTGACAAAAAATACAAAGGTAAATTTTATACCTCCTCAATTTCACACTGAAAAATGTTTTTAAAATATTAAAGTTTCTAAACTTTTTGTGTCAAATTAGAAAATATATTCTTTAATTTTTACTTACTCTAGAGTTTGCTTTAGGAAAGCACATTCCCAAAATAAAAGCTGCCAATAAGCACCCATGTGTAATACTGCCTAAAACATGAGACATCTGAAATCATAATATACAAATAAATACTGTCATAATTTCTGAATTTTGTTTTTCAAAAATCATAACTTGTTGAATGCTACCAAGTTTTTCGACAACCAAAACTAAAGTAACACAAATAATTCCTACAATCACAACAGTAACTTTCATGATAATACTACCCGCCAAATCACTCATTTTGACACCTAAAATTTTTACTATAAAGTCATGATAAATTGTTCCAGACACAGTATTAAGTTCTGCTGACATTGTACTAAAACAAATTTTAAATACATGAAATAAATAATATTTGAATATGAGTGAAATTATTTAACACATATTCCAATATTTTACCTTAAAGCTGCACTCACGATTCCAGAAATAAAAAGGCCGGTAAGCCCAGGATAATTTGTTGCCACGTTGGAAACAAAATATGGTAGCAAATTTTTATCACTTTCAATGTACTGAAAGTCAAATGAAATATTTATATTTATATTTACATTTTTATTTTTTATATTAATTATTTACGCCAGCCATGATAGGATCACAATTTTTAAATTTTGTGTACATCAGCATACCGATTAAACCAGTAAGTAACTTGACTACTACCATACCAATAGCAAAACCAATCAGAGCTTTTCTAGCTTTACTATATGTTGGTAATGATACAAATCTTTGAACCGCTCCAGGATGCATTCCTAGGTGATAAACCCAACTGAAAATTACTCCAATACTAACAGTCCAAAAGCTGTTTCTTAAAAACGGATTTGGATCCATACTTTAAATAAATATGTTAATATTAGTTAATAATTATAAAATGAAATAAAAATTAAACTTTTTTGATTTACTTGAACATTTCCAATCTATTTCCTTCGGAATTAGCATTTATGACGTTACCTATGCCACCAACTTGATAGATACCTAAAATAATTACTGTTGTTACTGAGAGTGATGTGAAAATACTTTGTATCGCGTCAGTCCATACAACAGCTTTAAGACCTCCCTAAATTTTTTGTTAATTTATTAGTAACGAAATAGTACATTACACATATCTTTGTTCTAAATAAATATGTATTTAATAATACTTACAACGGTTGTATAGAATATACATATAAGACATAAAATTGGAGTAATTGTGTGTACGTTTAGTTTACTAACTGTAAAAAAAATAATAATACAAGTTGCACTCAGAGAAACATCTGAATAATATCAAGTTTAAATAAAACGATTTTGGTCATTACCTTGATTAAAAGCCAATGCTGGTACATAAATTACTACAGGTATATACAATACCAGGGAAATAGCGTACATAAAAGATGCAACTGCACGAACATCCCTATTGAATCGTAACTCAAAATACTGAAAAAATTTAAGTATTGTTGTTTTATTTATACATAATATTTGTATACAGAACTATACTACTATCTGAATGGAAATTTAAATAAAACAAAAATATTTCTTTAATAAAATTGTTTTCGTAAAAAAGCATAAATTTTTATGAAACTCGAAAGAAAACTGAAATAAAAAATAAAATACTTTTCATGATTTACCGAAAAATTTCAATTAAGAAGAAGCTTTAATAATTTTTTACAAAAAATTATCCCTTTCCCTGTCTTTTTTTCCAATGTAGTTAATAAATTCTAAGAATAATTGATTTTTAACAATTGATTTCAATTGAAATACTTTAAAAACAAAATGTTGTTAATTTACCATATTATTACTCATAGAAATGCTATTTTTTCAAAATTTTAATATGGCAATTTTTAAATATTTATAAAAGAAATATATTACTTAATAATAGATTTCTATATAGTGTTCAGTAAGGAAGGAAAAAATTTTCTAATGTTCTTATTATTCATAAAAATTCACTTACTTTTTTAATACTTTATACATGAAAACATATTTTACCACATTCGTTTTTAAATATTTATTAATAATTGTATAAAATAAAAATTTTAGACAAAAATTATCAGTGTAATGTTACAAGAAGAAAAGTTATTTATTAAATAATATAGTTATTTGGTGTCATTAGATCAACTTACTTCGTATACAGATTTCAGTTGAAGATCGTAGAATACCGGTAGAAAAACATAAATTACGATAATTATAATGAAAATGTTTATCACAGCCACTACCAAATATTGAGTGCCATAAACGTAAATTTCAGATGGGGTTCCAAGTAGAGTGATCCCAGATACATGACTGTAATTGATAGATAAATTAAATAAATAAATAATTTTTTTATCAAATATGAGCAACACGAATTTAAATACGTAAGAGCAATTTTTTTATGGAAATGTTACTCCTAAAATTATTCCATTATATTATAATATAAATTGCACATAACTGAGTGACGTCAACACGTGACATAAGACTTGAAAATTTGACAGTATAGCAATTTTTCTGTTTTCGCTATTCATTTTACAAACTATTATTTTTACAAGAAAAATTATAGAACTTAAGTTTTTATAAATTATTTGTTTATAACATAAGTTGTAATATTGGCTTCGATGCGAAGCTGAGAAGGTATTAATTTTACTATGATGTGTTTTTTATTTATTTATTTTTTTTTTTTTGTGGCTGTGAACGCTCAATCTCAGCTCTCGCTGGACCTATTTTGATGAAAAATATGTCAAAAGATCACAAATCGTATCTACTCGAAGACATTACCCTTAAAAATTGAAAAAAATTCCCTCGTTCCCCTTAAACGGGGGAAATCCCCCAAAAAATTACAAATTTAAAAATCGCTAATTTTTGTGTGAAAATTTTCGATTTTGTATTTTACATTAACTTTATTATGCTATAACTTTTTGAAAAATGTATGGATCATTACAATTTTTTCATGAAAAGTAGTATTTATATAGATCTTTCATTCGACATACTTTTTTTTTAAATCGGACCATTTCCCTTAATACAGGGGGGATTCAAAACATAAAAATGCATATAGAAAGTAGAACTTTTTCAACTTAACTTTTGAAAGTGTTCCGGAAGGTCTGACACTTTTATATATATCTTAAATTAAAGTTAATGTAATATACTTTATTATGCGAAAAAATATTTTCGGACTTTATTTTGTCTTCACGGTGAAAATGGCTACCAAATGCTATTATTATATGAAAATTCTCAATTTTATTTTTTACATTTTTAACTTTATAATGCTATAACTTATTGAAAAGTGTATTGATCAAAATAATTTTTTTATGGGAAATACTATTTTTTAATACCTCTTTTTTTCATTCGACATACTTTATCTTAATCAGGATATTAATAAGGAACTAGCAGTTTATGAAGCTTTTGGAATAATCCACTAATTTTAGCTTCGATGCGAAGCTGAGAAGGTATTGGTTTTACTAAGATGTGTTTTTTTTTTTTTTT